GATACTGGAAGCTCGGTGAATGTCGTCTTCAAGGAAACGCTCAGAAGAATGGGAATCGACCTCTCCGAGGTGGAGGCAATCCCCAAACCTCTAACCGGATTTTCGGGAGAAACGACGATGACTATGGGAACGATCAGGCTTCCTGTGGTAGCTGGCGGAGTCACCAAGATCGTCGAGTTTTGCGTCACTGACCTCCCAGCCATCTATAACGTCATCATGGGAACCCCTTGGATCAACGGGATGAGGGCGGTACCTTCCACCTATCATCTTTGTCTCAAATTCCCAACTCCATCAGGTGTCAAAACGATATGGGGAAATCAGAAGGAATCAAGAAATTGCTTCCTAACCGAGCACAAGCTAAGGAACCCCGTCACCGACGCACGGGCTGACATAGACCGCAAAAAGATGAAGACAGACAGAGAGCCCGCGAACGAGCTCTCCAAACTCTTATAGCAATTACAGATCGCGGAGAGCCGTGAAACACGCACCGAGCCGATATGTGATGCAGTGGACTCGGTGTGCATAGACGAGGCGCATCCGGAGCGGTGCGTCGAAATTGGAACACAACTAGGCGAACTCCTAAGCAGCAAGCTCCTTTCCCTCCTCAAGGAAAACATCGATAGCTTTGCCTGGACGGCGGAAGACATGCCAGGCATCAGCGTCGATGTAACCTGTCACGAGCTTAACGTGGATCCGACCTTCAAACCAGTCAAGCAGAAAAGAAGAAAGCTTGGTCCAGAACGAGCTAAAGCAGTCAACGACGAAGTTGAGAGATTACTCAAGGTAGGATCAATCGCCGAGGCCAAATATCCGGACTGGCTCGCAAACCCGATGGTTGTGAAGAAGAAGAACGGCAAGTGGCGAGTCTGTGTGGATTTCACCGACCTCAACAAGGCGTGCCCAAAAGACAGCTTTCCCCTGCCACATATCGACCGGCTCGTCGAGGCCACTGCGGGGAATAAACTGTTAACGTTTATGGACGCGTTCTCCGGCTATAATCAGATCCTGATTCACTCTGATGATCGGGAAAAAACGGCATTCATAACCGATCGCGGGATATATTGCTACAAAGTCATGCCGTTCGGGCTCAAAAACGCAGGAGCAACGTATCAACGGCTCGTCAACAAAATGTTTGCAGCTCAGCTCGGGAAAACTATGGAGGTATACATCGACGACATGTTAGTTAAGTCACTCGAGGAGGAAGACCACATCGCGCACCTACAAGAATGTTTCGAACAGTTGAACAAGCACAACATGAAGCTAAATCCGGCGAAGTGCAGGTTCGCAGTCACCTCGGGAGAATTCCTCGGCTATCTGGTAACCCACCGAGGCATAGAAGCAAACCCCAAGCAGATTAAGGCGTTAGTTGAAATGCCCTCTCCAAGGACGAAGCGCGAAGTACAAAGGTTAACAGGAAGAGTCGCTGCGCTAAATCGATTTATCTCCCGTTCCACGGACAAATGCCTGCCTTTCTACGACACCCTCAGAGGAAACAAGAAATTTGAATGGGACGAACGATGTGAGACGGCTTTCCAAGAACTGAAGACTTATCTGGCGAGCCCGCCAATCCTAGCAAAACCGGTCGAAGGAGAGCCGCTCTTCCTCTACATCGCGGTGTCTGCTACAGCTGTAAGTGGGGTATTAATCAGAGAAGAACGATCCGAGCAAAAACCTATTTTCTACATCAGCCAAACACTGACCGACGCCGAGACCCGCTACCCACAAATCGAGAAGGTCGCCCTAGCCGTCGTAGTCTCGGCTCGCAAGCTGCGCCCATACTTTCAGTCGCATTCGATTGTCGTGCTCGCCACCCTTCCGCTGCGCCCGATCCTGCACAGCCCAAGCCAATCCGGTCGGCTCGCCAAGTGGGCCATAGAGCTGAGCGAATACGACATCGAGTATCGGAATAGGTCGTCTGCAAAATCACAAGTGCTCGCTGATTTCCTCATTGAACTCTCGGCCGAAGCAACAAACGAGCCAACCCTAGACGAAGTATGGACATTGCACGTCGACGGCTCGTCATCTAAACATGGCTCGGGAATAGGAATCCGCCTTACCTCTCCCACCGGAGAAATACTTGAGCAGTCTTTTCGCCTGAACTTCCAGGCCTCGAACAACGAAGCGGAATACGAAGCACTGATCGCCGGCATACGGCTAGCACAAGGAATCGGAGTTCGAAAAATAAGAACCTTCTGCGACTCGCAGCTCGTAGCATGTCAGTTCAACGGGGAATACGAGGCGAAGGATGGACGTATGGGCGCTTACCTCAAAATGGTCCGGGAGTTGGTGCAAAAGTTTGATGAGTTCGAACTCACCTCGGCCGACGCTTTAGCAGCACTCGCTTCGACCTCGGACCCGGACCTCCGACGAACGATCCCAGTCGAATTCATCGAACGCCCTAGCATCGAAGAAGTAGAAGGAGTTCGGCTGATAAATCCCCCTGAACAAGAACCAGAAGACGACGAAGCCATTCCGATGGAGGAAGACGCCTCGTCGGCCGAGCCGGAATACGGCTGCGACAAAGAATGGCTCGGGGCCATCCGAATGTACATCGCCGACGGAAAGGCGCCAACCGACAAATGGGAAGCCCGCAAGCTCAAAGCTCAGGCAGCACGTTATGTCCTCGTCGATGACGAGGTGTTTAAATGGAGATTTTCGGGGCCTCTCATGACATGCGTCGAAGGACCGGAAGCACGAAAGATCATGCACGAGGTGCATAGCGGCGCGTGCGGTAACCACTCCAGCGGAAGGTCGCTCGCTATCAAGATAAAATGGCACGGCTACTTCTGGCCTACGATGGTCAAGGACTGCGAGAAATTCACGGCGACATGCGAGAAGTGTCAGCGGCACGCTCCAACAATTCACCAACCTACCGAGCTGCTCTTGTCAATTTCGTCGCCTTATCCGTTCATGAGATGGTCGATGGACATCGTCGGACCTCTACATCGCTCGAAACAGAAGCGTTTTCTGCTCGTCCTCACGGATTACTTTTCCAAGTGGGTCGAGGCCGATTCTTACGCAAGTATAAAAGATGTTCAAGTCGAACACTTCGTCTGGAAAAATATAATCTGCCGACACGGGGTCCCTTACGAGATCGTCACTGACAACGGATCCCAGTTTATTTCAACACGCTTCGAAGCTTTCTGCGAGAAGTGGAAAATCCGCCTCAGCAAATCCACGCCAAGATACCCTCAAGGGAATGGACAAGCCGAAGCAGCCAACAAGACGATCCTCGATGGTCTGAAAAAGAGGCTCGACGAGAAGAAAGGACGGTGGGCAGACGAACTCGAAGGAGTCCTTTGGTCTCATCGGACAACTCCGCGCCGAGCCACTGGGGAAACTCCATTCGCTCTGGTCTACGGATCGGAGTGCGTAATTCCCCCCGAGGTGGACTTCCCAGGTATTCGACGAAGACTTCTACCAGGACAAGAAGGCTTAAACCACTTAATGATGCTAGATGAGCTCGACCTAATCAACGAAAAGCGCGACCAAGCCCTAGTTCGAATTCAGAACTACCAACAAGCAACGGCGCGGTACTACAACAAAAACGTTCGTAGCCGAAGATTCAAAGAGGGAGAACTCGTTCTCCGAAAGGTCTTCCAAAATACTGCCGAGAAGAACGCAGGAAAGCTCGGAGCAAATTGGGAAGGTCCTTACAAGATCACCAAAGTGGTTCGTCCGGGAGTCTACGAACTCGCGACACTAGCCGACGAGGATATTCCAAGATCATGGAACGCAATGCATCTGAAGAAATACTATCACTAAGGATACAGCACGACCATCATGAACTACGGGACGGCTTGATCCCTGCAAAGGGTACGTAGGCAGCCCGTCTTCGGACGGGTTCAGCTGTCCCCCCTCCTAAAAAGGGGGGGGGGAGTGGGTACGTATACACATACCTCCTCTAAACTCTATTATTTTGACTTACCCATTTAGGAACGTCGCCACTTCGGCATATTTCTCACTTCATTTTTAATCATCTACTTATTTCACTTGATTTCTAGTTAAACTATTATCGCTTCGGCTAGCTTCACATTGTAACAAGCTCGGATTTTTAAATTTTATCACTCATCACTTCGGCAAGTAATCGTACCACTTCGGCATGATATCATGACCCGATTACCTCGGACCCTAATCGGTCCTCAACTTCAGTTCGGCAAACTAAGCCTCTGAACGCCTAGCCTCGTTGCTGGCCACAACGGGGCAACAAGTACAAAGTTCTATAAACGGACTTTTACCACTTTTCCTAGGACGAGGGTGCAAGTTACATCCTCTACGGATAAAAATTAAGCGCGCTATACAAATATCAGACCAAAAACGTATCTGGTCGCCACGGTTTACTATCGCACACGAGAATATAAGTCGAGACTACATCGCTTTCTCTAAAAACCGAAGTAAAACTCTTAAACCCGGATAAACATACTCGAGAACACCGGTCCTTAGACAGGTTCGATAACACTTCAACCTCGGCTAACAAAAGCAAAACGCCTCGTCTACACAGCTCGGCGTCACGCCAAGCGAAAAAACGCCTCGTCGTTTACACGGTTTGGCAAAATACGCAGCAAAAACGCCTCGTCATTAAAAATGGCTCGGCATTACCAGGCAAAAATTCGCCTCGACATTATCACTTTAAAAATTTTCCAGCATCACCTAAAAGATGTTCCACAAAACTAACTCCCACCTCGGGATTAAGAATCCAAACGATGTCCTTAAACGAACTCAACCCTTAGCCAGTACTTCTATCATTTTCAAAGGATTCGGCTAAGGAAGCAGTTAAAATCATTACAACAGTTTTATCCTCAACAATTTTCTCTATTCCAAGGGTTGAAAATAAGTACATCAAATCCTAAAACAGCTAAGGGAAAGAGAATTTATTCATAAAACGAAAGTAAAATGTTAGATGGATAAAGCCGTCCAGGCATCAGTTACAAAGAGAGTTTAAAAACAAAAAAATCTAAGTACAAAAGGATTAAAGACGAGACAGGGGAGAGCACAGAGAATCAGGCCGCGGACTGCGTCTCACGTTCGGCGAAGAGGTTCGAGAGGACTGGCGTGCCCGCGTTCGATCCGTTCGGGTCCACCACACCTAAGTTAGCCGCTGTCTCTTCGAGCGGCTCGTTCCCGAGGGTGGTGTCGACCGAGTCCGGCGATACGGGGGAATAGTACAGCTCGCCCCGAATCTCGGAAGCAATGCGCTCGTACGCCTCTTCGTCGGCATACTCGCTTTCCCAGCTTTTCAGCTTTGCTTCCTCGTCGTCGAGTGTCGGGGCATCTGGTTTCTTCAGGTCGGCAATCATCGCCAGATTGCCCTTGATCTGTCCCAGATCATTCTCGTCATTTTTGGCTTTTTCAAGCCGAACCAGACCCTCCTCCACCTTGGCGAGGCGTTCTTGAAACTTCGCTGTAAGCTCTCGCCTCGCCTCCTTTTTCGCCCTCTTGACCTTAGCATCAAACAAGGCATCCTTGGCCTCGATACGCCTCTTCAGCATCGCCACCTCGGCACTTTTGGCTCTCCTCGCCTCCTCAAGGCGAATGATCGAGGCGGAGACTTTATCTACGTTTGCACGCAGAACGATCTTCTCCTCTTCCAGCCTGGACGCCCTGGCCGTCGCCTCGTCCAGTTTCCCCTTTACCGCCGCGGTTTCGGTCTGAGCCTCTTCCAGCTTCGTTTTCGACGATGCGGACTCAATTTTGGCCTCGGCCAAGCGACGTTCGACCTTAGACAGGTCCGCCTCGTACTCGGCCATTAGGTCGTTAATGGCCGCGACAAACTGCAGAAAATAAACTCGTGTCAAATACTTAGCGAAAATTCACGAAAGCAAAGGAAAGCAAAATGGAATGTTCCTTGGTCCCGCGCTGCGCCATTGCGCCGTAGGACCTCGGCCTCCTCAACTTCTCCGGAGGAGGAAGACGCGTGTTCGCGTTATTTACACGCAAGAACATTATGGCGGAGGCGTCGGGGTCATCGACGACCAACTTACGCGCGGCGGATTCTCCGGGCGTCGGCTTCCGTCTCTTCTTGGACGGCTCGTCCCTCTCAACAGCGACCCCCTTCCCTTTATCAGCAGCCGAACGTTTTCGGCTCGGGTCGTGTTTCTGCACGACGGAAGTCGGGGGCCTCGTCGACTTCGGGAGGGCTAGAATAGCGGAGTTCGAAGGCTCTTTGTTCCGAACCGCCGAATCGCCCCCAGACGCCTCGGGAACAATTTCGCCCTGTTCCACCTCGGGCGCCACATCTCTCTCGACCACCTCGGTTGTATTTCCCTCCGCAGCTCGGGTCGTTTCATCCCGGTTCGGCGGGTCAGTTTGATGGGTGGCCTCGGCTTGCGCCGAAACCACCTCGGCTTGCGCCGGAACCACCTCAGCCAGCGCCCGAGCCGCCTCGGCAGCTCGTCTAGCAGCTTCTTCCTGTTCGCGTCTCTTCCTTTCTCGGAGGGTTAAGATCACCATCTTTTCGCGGGTATCTCTGGAGGAACTGGAGGATGAAGAGCTGACGGGAACTCCTGCAAGAATGGCTCGCGCCTTCTCTACTCTCTCGAGGGTGAAATTCTTTCTCCAGTTAACCTTCCTCGCCGAAAGAGAGTCTCGAACGGTGAACAGATCGTCGGGAATCGGGGGAAGATAGCACCGAACTGCAAAACAAAGCAAAAAAAAGATAAGTGTCAGAAAAGGAAGAAAGTTTGAACCGAATCTCCGAGCCGAGGCAAAGCTTCGGGTCGGCTACCAAGTGGTCCCCAAGCGGTCTTGGCTCGGCAAACGTAATCCTCGCCGACCGACGCCTCGTTCACTAAAACGTAGAAGAAGCGTTCAGTCCAGGACTGGTCCTTGCTGGGAAAACCGCCGATAATCCGTCGTTTCGCCTTGTTGGAAATATAGAACCTGTTTCCTTTCGGAGCCTTCCTGATTTCCAGCAAGTTCAGCAGGTGGTTCAGCTCAATGTCAAGACCGCATTCGAAGCTTCGGACTAAAATGCCGATCATATGCCGCAGTCCCCTCGGCATGATCTGCCCGATCGAGATCCCGTGTTTCCAAAGGTATTCGAGGATCACTCCGGGGATTGGGAACCAGAGGAAGCAAAGCTCAAAGAACGCCTCGTACAGAGTGAAATGATTCTCTGGAGGGTTGTCGGCGCGGTCGCTTTTCTCTGGGACAACGAACTCCACCGCCTCGGATATTCCGAAGCGATGCCTCAACGCTTCGAGCGACTCAAGGGAGCAGAGTGTAGACCCAGGCGGGTCGGGTTTTTGCCTCTTAACTCTCGGCGCTCGCCCAGATGTGGAAGCACCTCGAGACGCCATGAGGCGTTCCAACTCAAGCTTCGCCTCGAAAAGATCAAAGGGAAATGCCTCCTCCTCGGCCTTGAGCGCGGCTCTGTTAATGCCCTTGTTAGGAACGAGATCCTGGGGACGGCTCGTCGAAACCGACGACTCGCCATCCGGAGAGCCGACATCTGATGGGTTTTCATCATTTGACGCCTCGTCAGATGAATGGTGAGAACGGCTCGGCGAAGCAGACGCCTCGGAAGAATCCATCGCACCCGTCGCCTCGGCGTCTATACGGCTCGGCTCGTAGTGGAAAAGCGGATCTAACGAGTCGTCGGAACGGTTCGACATACTTTACAACTTTTACAATGAATTACAACTTGACTCGGCGAGCCTCTACCGGAAAAAGATCTGCAGCGGCGGAGACTTCGGAAACCCTAGCCGGAAAATAAATAAACTAGAGAGAGAAAGAAGAGAGAAGGGAGAGCTACCTTTAGTAAAAACGAGTGAGTCGGGAAATAATGAGGAGGAGTGAAGGAGCTCACCTATTTATAGAAAAACGAGGCGCGTGAATTCCGCGTGAACCTCGGGAAGCCATCCAACAACGCGTAGGGTCCGCGGCGAATTGGTCATACCGGGTTGCGTCGTTGGCACGCGCCGAAAGATCCGGAACTTCCTCTCGGAAGACCAACAGTCAGGGTACCCAGGATAACGAAACGACTTGGTATAGACTCTCTCTCACTTGTATCGCCTCATCGTCTAACGAAAGGGCTCGGCATTATCTGTCTCTCTCGAAACGCCTCATCGTTAAACAAAATGGCTCGGTGTTAACTATGTCAAAACGCCTCGTCGTTAAACAAAACGGCTCGGCATTATCTGTCTCTCTCGAAACGCCTCGTCGTTAAACAAAACGGCTCGGTGTTAACTATATCAAAACGCCTCGTCGTTAAACAAAACGGCTCGGCATTAACTATTCCTCTTGAAACGCCTCGTCGTTAAACGGCTCGGCACAAATCCTTGTTCTTGAAACGCCTCGTCGTTAAACGGCTCGGCACTGACCCTTGTTCTTGAAACGCCTCGTCGTTAACAACACGGCTCGGCATGAACTTTCGCTCGAAACGCCTAGCCATATAGTCGGCTCGGCATAACCGTCACCAGATCGCTTCGTCCCTGATTCGCCTCGGCATCTTCGGCAATTCCTTGGAAACACCTCGGCACTCACACTCCCAAAACATGAATCTGGGCTCGTGTCGTAGCAGCTCGGCTCGATGGTTTATCTCGTGGTCAGGAGTAATGTACCTCGTCACTCTCGACTCCGAGATTGACGAGCTGGGGGGCTAACTGTTGGGGTCGATTTCCACCCCACACACATAAACCATCCCAAAATAACTAAGTATAGAAAATGGGAGAGCCGTGATCATCAAAACGGGAGAGCCGTTCTCACCAAGGCAAGAAGGAGAGCCGTTTCCACCAAGAAAGGTGGGAGAGCCGTTTTTACCAAGAAAGGCAAGAGAGCCGCGATCGCCAGGTGGGAGAGCCGAGAAGAAGGAGATGGGCCGAGCCGTATAACATAACATAGGCCGAGCCCCTGTCTTAAATACCTGGGCCGAGCCGTGCCGCGGAGAGGTGGAGCGAATGATGTCAAGTGGGCCGAGCCGTAAAGAAAGCATGATGGGCCGAGCCGAAGCCTTGAAGAGGCGAAGCCCACGAAAAACCCTAGGCGAGATGCAAAGTCGGTCAGCCACACGAGGCGATAAGGAAATATTCCGAAAATCTCGCCCGAGATTCTCGGCTAGGCGGTTTAGAAAATCGGTATAAATATGTGGTGTATGTAATTCATTCCGGGAACTTTGGCAACCCTAAGCAATAAGAACGAAACACTTTCACAGCAAGAAAAGTTCTCTTTTGATCTTACTGTCTTTGGCGATAAACCCCAGAAGTTTCCGATCCCTTAGTTTTCTTTACAAATCTTTGGTTGTGCGAGTTTTGGCTCACACAACCGTCGTAAATCAATACAATTTAACGTAATAATAATAATATGATGCTAACATCGTTAGACTTTTGAGAAGAAACTTATGCATAGAAATTAAGTTATAACAGCATTATAAATCAGATGATAAGATCTCAAGGTCGGAATTACAATTAAACATGGATTTTAAGAATGATAAATACGATGCTTTAATTTTAATGTACCTAAATAAGTTTCATTATGTTTAACTTAAAAACGAAACACACATCATCCTTAAAAAATATTAGTTTATGTCAGTGATAAATTGAACTGTCAAATACTTAAATATTGTTTTAAATAAATGATTTTATTCAAGTTATAAGGTGTTTGCAGTTTAACATATAACATGTACAAATATTTTAAATCATGTGTCATTTAAATGTTTCCTAAGGTAATATAAGATTTATTCGTGAAAATTATATAGCATGCCTAGTTTATTTTAGATAGTTTATTAAATAATGACATTTATTGGCTATTTTGTAACACTTATTATCATTTATACATCATTCGATTGCAGTAACAATTAAATTAATAATCAAACTTAATATGTTTTAAATCTTTACCTTTTTTGAGAATACCAATATCCTTCACCAATATCATAGTATTGAGTGTTAAGATTATGAATACTAAGAATACAAAAGATATTTTAGATTTTTTTGAAAAAAATTGATGAATGAACACTTACAACTACAATTAATCATTGTAAAACAGTACTTTGTATCCTCGGTAAATACTGCTGAAAAGTTTGAGATATTAAAATGATAATAAAAAAAACTGTCCTATTAAAATTTATTCATAAATATCTTGTCAATAGACATAAAGTTTGACAACTTGAATAATTACAAAGTAAAACTAAAGCAATGTCAATTGGATGATATTTTTTTTTTTAAAAAAACTTGAAACTTTTTAGATTTGCAAGTCAAAATACAATTAAAAAAAAACCAAAATAACATTAAAAATACCCAAAAAAGTAAAATTTTGAAACTGGTATAGTATATTCATGTTTAAATAGCTTCATAACAAAATTTTAACAGCAGCCAAATTATTCGATTTTTTGTCTCCAAGCATATGATATGATTTTGAAAATTATATATATATACAAGCTTATCTATCTTTTCATGAACGATCTTTAGCAAACCAAATTTACCATAAAAAGGATTTAGTTTATAAAATATCTGGACTTTTCTCAACATTTAAAAAAAACTTTATGCTGAGGAGAGAACAAAAATTTTTAATTGAACAAAATTAAATGTTTTTGTAAGATATTTTATATATTTTTTTGAAGTAATCGATGAATATAGTATATTTGATTTCTTTTCGTTCTTCACATTTTCAACATAAGTTTAGAATCAGTGTTTATAAGAGAGCTTGTAAGAGATCTTAGACATACATTTTAGTCGAAAATTAAAGCTCAGCCAACAATATTGGTTGCGACTCTCAGTATTCAACTTTCGGATAATTTTGGAAAAATCTTAATGAACAAATTTTAGTTTTAAAAAAGAGTAGATAATTATGGATTTTTGAAATCAGTCTGCAAAGATATACTCTTTGACAGATTTGTTTATATTGCAAGATAGACAACAGTATTTGTGGTAAGAAAAAATATTATGAAAGTAAATTAAGAATTTATTTGATCATATATTATAATCTGTACACAGTTTAAGCAGTTTTAGTGACTGAGACACAATGAGTCCACAAATCATCTCTCTTCTTCAAGTATTGGGTTTCGTTAGCAACTAGGTGGGGTCTATCTGAAATGTATTTGATCAGCGTGTCGTGACACATTTTTCCTTCTTCGACAAGATCATGACAACACGCATCAATGATGGTTCCGTTTCCAAAGACAACTCCGATTATATCCAAAGCACACTTAGGAGTGATTTTAAGAAGGCATGTATCCCATAATGTTTTTGCTTCACCTTCTTCTACAGAGAAAGCAGGAACAAATGCACACACCAAAGCTACAACAATGAATAGGGTTGTCAGCTGGGAGGTACTTGTAGTCATATCTGCTAAAACTTAAAAACGATCGAGTAAATATTATGGTACAAAAAAGAATATAATGAGAATGGATTGTCTTAGCGGAAGCTATTTATATGTTTTTATAACCCAAACATAATTATCAAAACAAATTTTAAAGAAACCGTCGTAAATCAATACAATTTAACGTAATAATAATAATATGATGCTAACATCGTTAGACTTTTGAGAAGAAACTTATGCATAGAAATTAAGTTATAACAGCATTATAAATCAGATGATAAGATCTCAAGGTCGGAATTACAATTAAACATGGATTTTAAGAATGATAAATACGATGCTTTAATTTTAATGTACCTAAATAAGTTTCATTATGTTTAACTTAAAAACGAAACACACATCATCCTTAAAAAATATTAGTTTATGTCAGTGATAAATTGAACTGTCAAATACTTAAATATTGTTTTAAATAAATGATTTTATTCAAGTTATAAGGTGTTTGCAGTTTAACATATAACATGTACAAATATTTTAAATCATGTGTCATTTAAATGTTTCCTAAGGTAATATAAGATTTATTCGTGAAAATTATATAGCATGCCTAGTTTATTTTAGATAGTTTATTAAATAATGAAATTTATTGGCTATTTTGTAACACTTATTATCATTTATACATCATTGGATTGCAATAACAATTAAATTAATAATCAAACTTAATATGTTTTAAATCTTTGCCTTTTTTGAGAATACCAATATCCTTCACCAATATCATAGTATTGAGTGTTAAGATTATGAATACTAAGAATACAAAAGACATTTTAGATTTTTTTGAAAAAAATTGATGAATAAACACTTACAACTACAATTAATCATTGTAAAACAGTACTTTGTATCCTCGGTAAATACTGCTGAAAAGTTTGAGATATTAAAATGATAATAAAAAAAACTGTCCTATTAAAATTTATTCTTAGATATCTTATCAATACACATAAAGTTTTACAACTTGAATAATTTCAAAGTAAAACTAAAGCAATGTCAATTGGAAACTTTTTAGATGCTGCAAGTCAAAATACATTTAAAAAAAACCAAAAATAACATTTAAAATAACCAAAAAGTAAAATTTTGAAACTGGTATAGTATATTCAGGTTTAAATAGCTTCGTAAATAAAATTTTAACAGCAACCAAAGTATTCGGTTTTTGTCTCCGAGCATATGATATGATTTTGACGATTATATATATACAAGCTTATCGATCTGTTCATGAACGATCTTTAGCAAAGCACATTTACCATAAAAAGGATTTAGTCTATAAAATATTAGGACTTTTTCTCAACCTTTAAAAAAACTTTATGCTGAGTAGAGA